ATTTTTTTCACTGATATAAAGGAAATGTTACATAGTTATGTGTTTACAATAAAACATTATGCTATTAATAATCAGTGTTCTGAATATTCATCGACATTAACTCAATGGGAAGGAACAACAAAAGAAATATAAAGATTTAAAAATACTGAAGCTGTAAACTGTAAACTGTAAGCTAGCTTACTGATATTTTTCTTCTTTCAGGACAGAGGAAGATCGGCTTTGCACTTTACTTCTATTCCTACAGCTCGTTTGTAGGCAGAGCCATTTATATGGAGGACCTGTATGTGATGCCTGAGTTCAGAGGTACAGTACTGCCTCTGAGAAGATGTCACATCATCGCTGTGCATCTGTATTTGCAGGAAATCTCAAGTAATGCACATGATCTGTCTTTCAGGGAAGGGTGTTGGTAAAGCACTAATGAGCAAGGTGGCACAGGTGAGTAAAACGTGTGAACACTGTAGAAGATAAACCTTGAGGATTTTCCTATTTTCAATATTTGCACAAAAAAATGATGAACAGTGTCTCAGAGGTAGCATACAGATCTCAGCTCAGCAGTCATTCCTGTCTTCCTTCTTGGTTTTGCCCTCCTGTAGCTGGGTCTGGCTGCTGGTTGCCACCAGCTCGACTTCACCGTCCTGAACCGGAACAAACCATCGATGGACTTTTACTTCAGCCAGGGCTGCTTCGATGTTACTGCTACCATAGGCTACCACTGCATGCGCTGCAAGGGGGAGGCGTTGAAGCAGCTGGCTCAACTTTAAAACAACCCTCATGACTTTGTGACCTTTGCAGCCATGAAGTCAGCCCACACATTGCAGGGATGGAGCACCACTCAGTGGCCTCTTTCCAAAACTTGACAACTTAAGCTGCTACCACTACATAGGCTGTCTAAAGGTCTGTGCTCATAGGCTTACAGTGCAGCACGCCTTTTAAAATGAATATAGTTCAAATATGTTTATATCCACATAAATGACATAAAATTGGTTTTCTAATTTAGTTGCAGTTACACTTTTACTCTCAGGTAGTTGATGTTCCAGTCATGAGAGAAGGATTTTTATAATAATGTGTATAATTCTATAACATAGAATAAAGCTGATTTTATACATTTCTCCTGAGTATGTTTTTGTGTCAAGTTACCAATAAAAAACACAATTCAGACAATTTTTTCCATAATTAGCGGTTGTTAGAGGTGGGAAGTAATAAAGTACTAATACTTCATTATTGTACTTAACTAAACATTCTACTTATCTGTACTTGCAGGAAAAAGTTGTCAAAAAAACGTTTTACTTTTACCGTCTGCATTGCAACACAAATATCTCTACTTTACAGTCTTTATAGTTTCAAAACAGGCTCACTACCTTAAGTTTAACACATTTAGATGAGTTATTTAACTCCACTG